TCCGGTTGTTGCCCAGGAGTGTCAGGGCAACCGTGGGTTTAGTGCGGGGCGGGCCGACGTCGGTGGGAAGGGGGCGGCGCGCCCCATCACAGGAACTAATAAATAACTTTTCTTTATCGGCCCTCTCCACCCCACTCATGATTTTATAGACCTCTATCCTATCCCCCCTCAGGCTCCTCTTTTCTAAACTGAAAAGTCTTAACGGCTTTAATACCAGTGTTCCTGATCTAAATAGCACACACTGTATTGTCAGGGCCTGGAGAAAATGAGGCCCTTTAGGAATGGGGACGGGGGGCAGAGGTTTACATGCAAGTGATGCAACACAGACTATCTGGAGCTTCCCAACTCAGGCAGTTCTCTGGCTCCTCTCAGCTGCGCTGCTCACCTATGAAGTTCCCAAGGTAAAGTCCAGGGAGAACCTGCAGGACACAAAAAGGAAGATTCAGCCGGAAAGTGGGTGACACCTAATGTGTCAGACAGAGCTGCCTGGAGCATGCTTGCCGCTCGGAACAAGCCAAGAAGAACCAAGACAGACAGAGGAAACCCCCATCTCTGCACCACCAGAGCTCCCCCTTCCTGGACCCCTGCCCACCCCTGCTGGTGAAGTCACTAAAGCTCTTCCTGCGATGAGTGTGCGGGGACAGGGTGCTCCATTAGTGTGAGGCTCCTGCTTTGACTCTGCTGCCTCCGTGGACCCCAGTGAGACGGGCCTCCCATGCGTGAGGAGGGCTAGCAGCCCCCCCATCGGTCCCCTGCTTAGACCACTAGGTTATACTCCCTCCTCCATTTAGCCAAAGAGTGCCAGTCTTATAAGCAAATTCTCACCAGCAACTATAGACCGCACCACAGTAACTCTAACTCAGGAACCAATCCCTGCAGCAAACCTCGGTGCCAACTCTGCCCACATATCTACACCAGCGACACCATCACAGGACCTAACCAGATCAGCCAGACCATCACGGGTTCATTCACCTGCACACCTACGCCATCATGTGCCAGCAGTGGCCCTCTGCTATGTACATCGGCCAAACTGGACAGTTCCTACGTAAAAGAATAAATGGACACAAATCAGATATTAGGAATGGTAATATACAAAAACCTGTAGGAGAACACTTCAATCTCTCTGGACACACAGTAGCACATTTAAAGGTAGCCATCCCGCAGCAAAAAAACTTCAAGGCCAGACTTCAAAGAGAAACTGCTGAGCTACAGGTCATCTGCAAATTTGACACCATCAGTTTAGGATTAAATAAAGACTGTGAATGGCTATCCAAGTACAAAAGCAGCTTCTCCTCTCTTGGTGTTCACACCTCCACATCAGAGACTAGAAGTGGGCTTCATCCTCCCTGTCTGAATTAATCTCGTTATCTCTAGCCTTATTCTTGCCTGCATATTTATACCTGCCTCTAAAAATGTCCACTACATGCATCTGATGAAGTGGGTCTTTGCCCACGAAAGCTTATGCTCCAATACATCTGTTAGTCTATAAGGTGCCACAGGACTCCTTGTCGCTTTTGCAGTCTTATAAGAAGTCCTTTCTTTTCTTTCTATTGCTTCTGAAGTAAACTTGTTCCCAACACAAGAATAGCAGGCCAGTTTGTTGCAGAATTTAGGAACACAAATGCATGTCTAATCTGTGCAAGCAATCATAGAATCATAGAATCATAGAATAATAGGACTGGAAGGGACCTCGAGAGGTCATCGAGTCCAGCCCCCCGCCCTCAAGGCAGGACCAACCTCCGTCTACACCATCCCTGACAGATGTCTATCCAACCTGTTCTTAAATATCTCCAGAGAGGGAGATTCCACCACCTCCCTTGGCAATTTATTCCAATATTTGACCACCCTGACAGTTAGGAATTTTTTCCTAATGTCCAATCTAAACCTCCCCTGCTGCACTTTAAGCCCATTACTCCTTGTCCTGTCCTCAGAAACCAAGAGGAACAAATTTTCTCCTTCCTCCTTGGGACACCCTTTTAGATATTTGAAAACCGCTATCATGTCCCCCCTTAATCTTCTTTTTTCCAAACTAAACAAGCCCAGTTCATGAAGTACCAATCATGGTAACTGAGGTGCATACTTTGCAATTGTGTACCTGAACGGTCTGAAAATCTGGTCCTAAAGTTTTAAAGATTTTCATTTCCACATGCTCTCAATTCCAGTAATCTACCTACTGCTATTTCCCATGGTGAGATGACATCTGTTGTAGTCTTAACTTTGTTAGGCACAGTACGAACTTCCAAACCACAGAAACATCCATTTCTTTACCGCCCTAACCAATAGCACCATAGACTGTTAGAAGTAAGGCATTTAAAAATTCAGTGCACTCAGAACCTCTTAGGTTACCTTTTTACATTTCTCTCAGTCTGGACAATGAAAACAAATTGAGTCGTTTTCACTATTTCTAGAAACAGAAGATTAGATGAGATCTCAGAATCATTGAGTCCACCCCCCTGTGTTGTGGCAGGACCAAACAAGCCTAAACCATCCTTGACAGGTGTTTCTCCAACTAGCTTTTATAAGCGTGCTAGATGGGAACTCCATGACCTCCCTTGGCAGCTTGTTCCAGAGCTTAATTACTGTCACAGTTAGAAAATTAACACACCCCAAAATCGTATTTATGCAGCTGCATCTCGTTGACGATTCATATTCAGTTTGCGGCCCACTATAACCTCCCGATCCTTTTCAGCAACACGGTCACAAAACCAATTATTCCATTTGTGGTAGCTGAGCATTTGACTTTTGTTTATCGTCAATTTCAAGTTCTTGATGCTTCCATGCTTGGCTCACAAATTCTGCAGGGGAATGCTCAAAATGACAGTTTCACTTTTTTTTCCAAAGTACATTTGGAAACGTTTCTATTGGCCTCATAGTTCATAAGAGGTCTTTGAAAACATTTACAATTTGGACATCGACAATGTGCCTTTAACAAACTAACTTTCAACTGCTATCATAGCAGCTAGCTACTAAGAGACTGCTGTAGTGCATGGACTCATATTCAAGGGAAACTGCAGTAGCCACGCACCCAGGCATGTCCTTATTACACAATAATATGTGCCTCATTCAGTCCTGCTCTTCAGAGAATGGCAATAACTTCATTATATTGCATCCTTCATCCAAAATATCACAAGATTCTTTGCTGTGCAATGACAGCGTGGAGATAGAATGCGTTAAAGGGTGAAGTGTGCCGGTTCCTCCATGGGTAAATGAAGTCACTTCCTTGCAACCTGAGAAAAGTTCATTGAATGGGAAGTAGTGGCTGCCCTTTCCATTAAGCTATGCCCTGGATACCGGCTAGAGCAGTTGTCACCAACCAGTAGATCAGGATCTACTGGTAGATCTTGGAACCTTTGACAGGTGATCCTGAGAGGTTTCACTGGGAGGCTAGCAAGTGCCGGCACTTCATCTGCCCCTCTCAGCACTGCTGTGCTGCTCCTGCCCTCTGCCTTGGAAATGCCCCTCAGCCCTGGGAGTCTCCTGCTTGCTGTGCAAGGCACAGGAAGAAGAGGAGAGGGTGATGATGTCAGGGTGCCCCTCCCGCCACCCTGTACCCCATTGCCACAGAGCAGAGGGGAGAAGGGATGGAGAAAGTTTTCTGGCTGCTTTTGGGAGTGGTGCAGGGCCTGGGTCAGAGTGAACCGGCCTTAGCCCCCTGCACCACCACCCAGAAGCCACCTGTGGTAAGCGGTGCCCAGCTGGAGCCTACATTCCGAACCCCGGCCCCAGTCCTGAACCCCTCCTGCCCCCCAAACTTCTGCCCCCAGCCTGATAAAAGCGAGTGAGCATGGGGGAGGGAGGGTGGAGTGAGCAGGGGCGGGGCCTCAGAGAAGGAGCAAGTAGGAGGCGGGGCCAGGGTGTTTGGGTTGGCGGTAGATCCTGGATTGCCCTTACATTCAAAAAGTGATCTTATGCTTAAAAAGGCTGGAGACCCCTGGGCTACAGCAAAGCCAGTGGGATTAGAGCAGCTGCCACTGAGAATGCTGAGCAGCCAAGTGCGCCAGAACAGAGCTCTACAGATCTCTTCTCATGTGCTCGGGGCGGCCCTAGACTGGCTGCCAGCAACTGGCGCCCTAGGCGAACCATGCAATCAGCACCCCTACCTCCAAACCCCTCGATGATATTGCGCCACCATTCGGCGCCCCATTTAACTTGATGCCCTAGATGACTGCCTAGTTTGCCTATATGGACGGGCTGCCCATGCATGTGCTCATCTCATCTAGTTCTCCGGGGTAAAACTTTGCTTTCACCTGCACAGGGTAGTGTCCTGGGCTTTTCCTTGGCCTTACTGGTGTCCCTGCTGTAATCTCCTGGGGAGGAATCCCAGGACCGCCATTCATCTGCTCTGACGTCTGTCTACTTACTGCTGTCTTCCTAGGGTGGGAGCACAGGTGCTTGGAGCCCTTACACTGCAGACTGGTACTAAGGACCTTGCCTACTGTCTTGCATGACCTCTAAAGCCAATGTCCAACCAGTTCTGAAGCAAACTAGCCACATTCAACCAGCCACATAGACACATGGTTCAAGCCAACTAGCCACACTCAACCAGTCATATAGGCACATGGTTCAAGCCAACTAGCCACACTCAACCAGTCATATAGGCACATGGTTCAAGCCAACTAGCCACACTCAACCAGTCATATAGGCACATGGTTCAAGCCAACTAGCCACACTCAACCAGTCATATAGGCACATGGTTCAAGCCAACTAGCCACACTCAACCAGTCATATAGGCACATGGTTCAAGCCAACTAGCCACACTCAACCAGTCATATAGGCACATGGTTCAAGCCAACTAGCCACACTCAACCAGTCATATAGGCACATGGTTCAAGCCAACTAGCCACACTCAACCAGTCATATAGGCACATGGTTCAAGCCAACTAGCCACACTCAACCAGTCATATAGGCACATGGTTCAAGCCAACTAGCCACACTCAACCAGTCATATAGGCACATGGTTCAAGCCAACTAGCCACACTCAACCAGTCATATAGGCACATGGTTCAAGCCAACTAGCCACACTCAACCAGTCATATAGGCACATGGTTCAAGCCAACTAGCCACACTCAACCAGTCATATAGGCACATGGTTCAAGCCAACTAGCCACACTCAACCAGTCATATAGGCACATGGTTCAAGCCAACTAGCCACACTCAACCAGTCATATAGGCACATGGTTCAAGCCAACTAGCCACACTCAACCAGTCATATAGGCACATGGTTCAAGCCAACTAGCCACACTCAACCAGTCATATAGGCACATGGTTCAAGCCAACTAGCCACACTCAACCAGCCAAATAGCCGCATGTGGCTAGCGGCTAGCGTGTTAGACACCATGGCTCTAAAGAATCCCCATGTAATTTCCTGCCCAGCTTTGCACAACCTGTAGCTGAAGACCCACTTCTACTCAAGGAACTGGATTTTGCTGGTTCCTTAAAGTAGATTTCACTCTAAACTTAGGCACACACGAGGGTGCCTTGAAATCTAACAGAAAGTTCACCTGGCTCTTGCTTTCCAAGAAACAAGAGTACAATAAAAAGACCTCACACCCTAAAAGCTCTGCCAAGCCTGTCTCAGAGAGAACAGAGATCCCCAAAACCGGCGTCTCGGAGTGTTCACCTTATTCATGCCATTTCCCATGGTTCAAAGCAATTACTACCGAAGGCCAGGAGGGATGCAGGCGATGTTTCCTGATGCTTTGGCACAGCGGTCCCTCAGCTGATATCGTAGCTGCCTCTCCAAAATGCTCAATGGCAGGATTTCTGTGTGGGTGAGGAAGAGATTCACTGTGTTTGTTGCAATAGGAGCGGCTTGCTTGTTTTTTCCTCTTCACAAGCACCAAAACTGATCTGGCAGCAGCTGAAGCCCTTCTCTCAGGACGGCCTCCCTTCCGGATGGTGAAACTGCTCTCAAAGTGCCTTGTACCAGTTGTACTCTTGGCCAGGGCTGAGACAATAGAGGAGAAATCTGAAACCACCCCTCTCCGCACTCTTGTGGGAGTGCTAAGGCCATGTGGGTCTGCTGTCTTGTGTTGCTGCTTTCCAAGCAAATCTGAACAAAGCCTCCAGTGTTGGAGAAATAACAAAACCCTTTGTCCCTCTTGCTCTCTTACAAGGAAGGTTTGTTAAGCCACGCAGCTGAATGCTCAAAGGGATGCCCACTTCTTCTGCATGTGGCCCCTTGGGGCCGTGAGTACTCCTACCCCTCCAGTGAAACTCGCAGCCTCAAAGCAATTCCAGCTCTTGGTTTTCACTCACACAGAGGCAAAACTTCCCTTCTTTTGGGGTAGCTTCTTGCTTTGTACTGCCAGGCATGATAGTAGCCTCTGCAGAGCAGAAAGCAAGGCCAAGGGATCACAGAGGGAAAGTGGGGTTCGGGTACCATCCATCAACATCATCGTACTTGGCAGCATGGCACATACGACGTTCATGACAGTCTGGACAAGTATGCCTCATAATCAACCCACTCTTCAAGGTATGTAACCACCTACCCTGTTTGCTACATGGGCATGCTCAGCATTGAGAGGCGCTCAAGCAAAACTCCTGTTCCAAACATGCCTGAACTTGAGAGGACTTGGATCTGATTGGGTGCTAGCCTGTGCTGCAAGGAAGACACTTTATCTATATTTTAACGTAGGGAAACTGAGGCAGAAAGCGAAATTAACTTGAGAAAGGTCTGAAAATCCATAGCAGAACGGAGGCAATTCTCATTTCATTCTCTGCTGTGCCACAGGTGCTCCCTGTGTGACCTTGGGCAAGTCCCTTAAGTCTCTTGTACCTCAGTTTCCCATCTGTGAAACAGGGATTATAACCCTGCTCTGCATCATGCTGTGAAGCCAAATCCATAAAGACTGTGAGGTGCCTGACAGTGTAGTAAGGGTGAGGAGTATGCTTAGATCCTTGTGACCTGTGACTGTTCCTTTTACAGGACTGTATCCACTGTGCCTTTAAGAATTTAAGCTCTTTGGGTAGGAACAGGGATAGTGTTCACAATCTATCTACTATAAAGTTTCATGCCCACTGAATGCTGCACAAATTACCTGCCAGCAGGCCCCAGACAAAGATGGAATGGTGTAAAAGAATTGAGTATGCATTTGTAAATAGGCTGCGAGAAGATTCCCTTTAAGTCCTTTTAGTAAAGAAATGTTTTCTCTCTCTAGCACCCAACAGTTGTGGATTTCAAAGCACTCCATTATATCACTGTGCTGCAGGGAAGGCACATTATCTACATTTTTAAGGTGGGAAAACTGAAGCAGAAAGAGAAATTAACTTGATAAAGGTCTGAAAATCCATTGCAGAACCCAAATCCTGCAGTTCTTTCTCAGGCAAGGCACCCAATGAAGTCAACCAGGATTTTTCTTGAAGAAATGGCAGCTAGTGCCACCGCCCCCCCGCGATTGTCGTGATCTTGCTCAGACCATTAGGCAATACTCTTTCCAGTATTAGCCAGGAGCCTCACTCACTTATTGCCTCACCAGTGACTAATGTTCCCCCTGAGAAAGGACACAGTGTATCCTTGCTCCTAGCTTCAGCTGCCAGCTCTCTCCTATAGAGCTTGAGTGCTGCTTGTGATTTCCCCAGCACCCTTCACTCTGGGAAGAGGAGGCGTGTGTCATACCCAATGCCTGGCAAGTCAGACACTGAAGTTTCTGAAGCTTCAGGGGGTAGCCGAGTTAGTCTGTTACAGAAAAAAACAACCAATGGTCTGGTGGCTCTTTATAGACTAACAAAACATGCAGATGGGATCGTGAGCTTTCGTGGGCACGGCCCACTTCTTCAGATGACCAGAGCTATGAGTTTAGGAAGTGCAGACCCAAAATAAATAGGAGGGGGAAGGGAAGGGGAAAAAAGGGAAGGGGGGTGGGAGACAGGGAGCTAGAGGGAAGCACTACAGTACATATCTAAAGATTGGGTAGTTAAAATGAAGCAGATAAGAATCAATGTCAATTGATAGGATCCTTCCTGACTTAGGAGTCTACACAAAGAGCTGTTTGTACCTTCAACAGCTATTAAGGTGGTAGTGGCCCAACTTCAGATACTTACTGATTCCCTCTAGCTCCTCTCTCTCCTATTTATTTTGGGTCTGCACACCCTAAACTCATAACTCCAGTTGTCTGAAGAAGTGGGCTGTGCCCACGAAAGCTCATGATACCGTCTACATGTTTTGTTAGTTTATAAAGTGCTACCCGACCATTTGCTGTTGTTTTTACTGAAGTTTCTGGCAGATATCACTGACCAGTCTCTTTCCTACACAAATCCTTAGTTTGGTGCCAGGGATGCCTTTGGTTTGATAATCAGAAACATTATATGCTCCCTTTGCTTCAAAAGGATTCAGGGTGGTTCTTTACTTGTGTAGGTCTCTGCACCACCACAGCTGTAAGCATCTGGATTGAGAACTGTGTTCACTGCAACAGAAAGGCAGCTCAATCATCACGGGTTTCAGTGAGGCCAGCGTGGAACCCAGAAAATGTTTCCTTGAATCCCTGGGATGCTTTACTAGTCTATGGATTGCCAAGGATGTTACAACAAAGCTGGGCCCAAGAGGCTGTTGCCCAGCCAGGCCTTCTGGCAT